AGGCCTTCAATCCGATTAGTTGTGTCCAGGTAAACGTAGCTAGTGACTAATTTTAAACACCTCTAAATCAGAAACTACCATTAGTTCAGAGCTGTAATTTGCCAATTAATCTATAGAGATATAAATTATCGCACATTATCAGCTAGATCTAACCACTGAAAGTGGGTCAGGGGCATTAATTATTGAACGCCCCTGGTACAGATAAAGGTTGGTGAACAAACATATTTCTTACTCGCACACCTAACTTGGCAATTAAAGTTGATTCTGCTGCTAATAATTGAGTTAATTTTATATATTTTCATCCTGGAGACATTTAATCTGCAGTAATGAAGAAGGTGGAGATTTTTCTGTCACTCTGTGTCCTCATCAGACCGAAGGCGACGCTCTTCTGCACAGGTTTTATTTAATATGCTCATCAAAAACTCAATCAGACACAAAGTCAGGCGAGGAGCTAAGATCCCATGAGACTCTACAATAATTCAGAGTTAGTTTGAAAAGGTTTTACTTTCCTCCGTCTGCTAAGGCACTTTGAGTTCCTCTTTTCATTTTCTACCACTGTGAGTTTAATTTCCTGCAGAGACCTGAGAGAGCGAGGCGAGTCAGTAAACAAGTCAGAAAATAACACCGTACTCTGGGGCGAGACGGAAACCTGGCACAGAGTGTGTGTGCATCTAACATGAGGGTTGATTTGTCAATAATAAGTTTTATAACTCAGAAAAATATTCCATTCCTTTTTTTCCCCCTAATCCAGTAAAAATTCAATAACAGCCCTAGGAAGTTTACAGAAATCTACTTCTCTGTTTTTCAGTCTTATTCCTTTGTTTCTGTCTGAAAATCATTTTATCTGTCGGGATAACAGCTGCTTATTTCTACTGAACATTAAAAAGATGTCAGAAGTTTTTCTGGATACATAAATCATTTATTGTTGCCTCAAAGATTACAGCTTGACCTGCACTGCAAAAAAATTGAAATCTAAATAAAATAAGTGCGCTTTTTCTTGAATTAAGGAGGTAAGTGAGACACTTTGCAAATGGAACAAGACAATTTAGATTTAAAATAAGAAAATTGCATTGTTTTATTTCAAGTGCATTATATCTAAGACTAAACATACTAATTCCATTGGCAGATCATCTTATTTACCTACTCAATTTAAGGGGAAATAGACTTATTTTAAGAGATTTTTGCTTATTTCTAGATTGTTTTTGCAGTGTGCTAGAAGAGACCGGAAATGGAGATGAATAAACACTGCAAAAACCATCTGGAAATGAGTAAAAATGTCTTAAAATTAGTGTATTTAGCATAATTCAAGCAAGTAAATAATACGATTTGCCAATGGAATGAGTATTTTTACTCTTAAAATAAGATAATTAGATAATATCCACTTGGAATAAGACAACGCAATTGTTTTTTCTAATTTTAGATGTAAGTTGCTTTATTCCATTGGCAAAGTGTATCACTTAACTGCTTAATTCAAGAAAGAAATGCTCTTTTTTAAAGAAAAATTAACTTACTTAGATTTCAATTTTTTGCAGTGAACCCGTATGAGTGTGGAAGCACTGGGGAAAAGCTGAATTTCAAGTTTAATTTAAATGGTTTATAGTCGGGCAGAATTGAACAAATGATAATTTAGCTTTTTATATTTAACAGGATTTAACTCTGAGATTATTGATGTTAAATGAACAGAAAGATGAAGCAGTGGAACAAAATGCAGAGATGACAGGTTTCCATGGCTGCTGCAGCTCAGACAGACAGAAAACTCAGCTTCAAACAGGCAGGAAAAAAGCCGCTCATTCTGCATTAAATATTCAATCCTGAGTGACAGGCAGAAAATTATTTCAACTACAGTCCATCAAAATGGCCCTTCCCAGTCAAATGGCAGCAAAATCCCCTCCAACTTCCAGCCACTGGCCTTCTCCTGGGCGTGA